TGCTGGAATCAGGAACAGAGCTGAGATTTAAACCCAGACACCTGAATAGGGGACACAGGCATCGCAAATGGCACCTTAACCCCTGCACTAAATGTTCAGCTCATCCTTTTTTATTATCTTAATGAAAATTTCAAGAATTACATCCTGAATGGCTATTAGGATGAGTTGAGAATAAACTTGGGAATTGTTTTTATCTCTGCTTGACATTAAATGTAGCTCTTGGTTTCCTTATTTCTTCTTCTTCTTGTTGTTGACAGTACAGACATCAGAGCAGATGTGTGTGCTTTCTTACCAATTAGCTGATCGGCCGGCGCCGTGGCTCAATAGGCTAATCCTCCACCTTGCGGCGCCGGCACACCGGGTTCTAGTCCCGGTCGGGGCACCGGATTCTGTCCCGGTTGCCCCTCTTCCAGGCCAGCTCTCTGCTATGGCCAGGGAGTGCAGTGGAGGATGGCCCAGGTGCTTGGGCCCTGCACCCCATGGGAGACCAGGAAAAGCACCTGGCTCCTGGCTCCTGCCATCGGATCAGCGCGGTGCGCCGGTCGCAGCGCGGCGGCCATTGGAGGGTGAACCAACGGCAAAGGAAGACCTTTCTCTCTGTCTCTCTCTCTCACTGTCCACTCTGCCTGTCAAAAATAAATAAATAAATAAATAAACCAATTAGCTGATCAACAAACATGAATGCAATGGGCACAATACATTTGCTGATATATAGTCATTTTCCTCCATAGTCAGAAATGAAAGTCTATGAAGATGTTTCCAGATGAATTATTATCAGGCTATGTTGGTGCCTGTGTGTTCCTCACCTTTTAGTCCTAGATTTCTTTTGTACAACGAGCAATATGATTTGTGGTTCTAATAACCATAATATAACCTTCCTGATTGTGATGCATGCAAGCATCTCAGTAGTAGCGTATAAATTATTTATGAAAAAAACAGACTCCTTCCAATGGAAGTTTTAAATTTCCCTTCCAACCTCTTACACACCACTACTCACAGATAATTATTGTTTTTCCCAGAAACCACACACATGTTCATCCTGTAGGTATGCTCCTGGGTAAATATCAGATTCCCAGTTTGATGAACAAAGGTTTAGATACAGACTGATTGCATCTCCTGTCTGAATCATTGGTGATGTTGGCTTGGAGACCTTCTAATAGGAAATACATCTCCCAAAGAAAAGAATTCCCAGCATAAAATTGTAACCAAGCATCACCTACTACCCAATAACTAAATTTTTAGCAATGAAAAATCACTCTGAGTTCTTTTGTTCTTTCCAGTGCTCCTGAACAGAAATAGGTTTTAAAGCTGATATTTACAGCTCTAACTCTGGGGCATAGTAGCATGGCATTAACTTCTTCACATTTGTTCTTCAAACATTGCATCTAAGAGTCTATTTAAATTGGGAAAGAGAATTATGCATTATGACAATGGGACTTGAGTGTGTATGTGTCCTATTAGCTTATATTACTTAGTGATTAAGAAAATACACTCCATTTACCACAATAGTAATCCAAATTGGATTTTTGCCCTTTAAATGCAGGGTACCATGTGGCTAATGCACTTTTACTATGAGCAAAGGAAGATACTAGCATTCAAAATTTTAAGACAAAAATACTGAATTCATTTTGTTTAACTTCTGAGGATGAATCTCTCTGCAGCATCAATCTGATAATCTCATAAATGGAAAGTATATCAGGAGTGCAACGATTAAAGAACATCAGAAATGATGATGCTTACAGACTAATTAACTTTTCACTATAAGGTGGGTTACTGCATGCTGACTTTTAATATATGGATTATTTTCAGTAACGGGGATCATGTCCAATTAACTGGCTTTAAGAAGACTGGGTTCTTCTGATCAGGCCCGTATTCCTATGACCCAAGAGTATCAGCCTTTCCTTTCTTGGCTTGTAGAAACAGCTCAGATATTCAGAGCCAATTGATTGATTTAGAAAATGGCCCCATGCTTTGATATCGCACTGATAGATAAGAAATTGAAGTAGAGCAAATTTTAGGTATTAAAAATTAATGAACTAACTAAAAAGTGACTGTTGTTGTCTTATCAGAACCTCAGTACTCTTAATAATTGGTCACTTAGTTCTGTTCAGTCCTGTTTTGTTCTCTAAAAGACCCTCAGTAATAATAGGAAACCTCTAGTATTGGGAGAACAGATTCTCTGCTCCAAAATATCTTCCCCCTTCACTCACTAGTCTTCCTGAAACTAAAAAAAAAAAAAAAAAAAAAAAAAAATACTAGGATAAAGCAGGTGTTGTGGCTCAGTGGGATAGACCATCACTTGGGTTACCCACATCCCCATATCAGGGGGCCTGGGATTGAATCCCACTCCCACCTCCCATTCAACTTCCTGCTTATGTGAACCCTGTAAGACAGTGGATGGTGGCTTATGTATTTAGTTTTCTGACACTCATGTGAGAGGCCCAAATGAGGTCCCTGGCTCGTGGCTTCAGCTAGACCTAACCCCAGCTATCACAGATACATGAAGAGTGAACCAGTGGATGGGTGATCTCTCAATCTCTCACTCATGTTCTGTCTTTCAAATAAGTAGGAAAAATGCCAAAAACTATAAGAGTTAAAGTCCACTGAATTGGAGCCAGCACTATGGTATAGTGGGTAAGGCCACCGCCTGCAGTGCCATCATCCCATATGGGCACTAGTTCGAGTCCCGGCTGCTCCACTGCCTATCCAGCTTTCTGCTAGGCCTGGAAAAGCAGTAGAAGATGGCCCAAATCCTTGGGCCCCTATACCCGTGTGGGAGGATCCAGAGGAGACTCCTGGCTCCTAGGTTAGGACTGGCGCAGCTCTGGTCCTTGTGGTCATCTGGGGAGTGAACCAGCAGATGGAAGACCTCTCTCTGTTTCTCTCTCTCTCTGCCTCTCCTTCTCTGTGTAACTCTAACTTTCAAATAAATAAATAAATCTTTTTAAAAAATCCACTGAATTATAAGTATTTCTTGTTTAAGTTTGTGAATTTTGCATTGGCATAAGGAGTCAAAATCATGGGAAGAGAGAGAAACCAAGCATTTTGCTCTGGAAGGATTTGGAAGGGGTTTTGTGAACACATTTTCTGTTGCTATCTCTACATAGCTCTACAAAGAAAATATTTACAGAAATAACTAGAATCAGCATCTTGAATGTTTTTAGAGCTACAATATGGTATGTTGTCCAATAAAAGCAGTTATTACCAATATAGGCAAACATCAACTTTAAAATGTTTGTGTATTCTATGAATTCATTTTTATAAATTCTTTTTTTTTTAAGCTGTATCACATTGTTCTATAAAAACCATTGGTGGATTAGTCTTTTGGATTGTAGACAATAGCAAAACCTTATTTATACTACAATATACTTTAGGTGCCATAGCAATAGCATTATTTCAGTTATTTCTAGCCACTATTTGGAAACAGCTTCTGTTTGAAACAGCATTTTCAGTTACATAGCCAGAAATGTTTTATAATACTTAGAATTTAATAATACTAAAAGCTTTCCAAATCAAAATTTGTGATACAGCTCAAGTAGTATTTGGGAAAATGTGAAGTCTTGAATCCAATTGTCAGAAAACTAGAATGAGTAGAAGAAAATGAACTCCCACAACCTCATACAGTTGGTTGGAGCATCAGTTATGTGGAAATCTTTTACCCTTAGAGAATAGAAGAAGGGCCTCCAGAGACTGAAGGAACCAGTTACAGCAAAGCCCTAATTCTCTTTTTCAAATTTCCATCAAGGAGACCTCAAACTTAGCATGTAAAAGTCACCTAACAAGATTATTGGAATGTTAATTTCTTAACTCTAATATATTGATTATATTAACTGTATTGATTAATTGTATTGATTATGTTAATTATATTAGTTGTATTGATTATATTAGCTTTGGTTTGGTCTGTGATAACTGAATTTCATCAAGTAATCTAGATGATTTGAACAGAAACTTTAAGAAGTATGAGTAATTGCTTGACAATATGTATCTATTGGGTCATCATGACTATGATGCTCTGAGAACCAAAAAAGGAAGCTGGGTAAGCTGTTAAAGCTTCTGAACACACAAAACAGACATTTGGCTCTAGTCCTACATGTTGGGTAAATACCACTTATTGTTGTGTTTTCTACCCCTGAGTTTATGGCTTCTCTGACTATAGGTGAAGCAGATTTAGTAGGTTTTTCAGAATTGCTTTGCCATTTTAGGTATTATCTAGACAACCTGATAATGAAAAGCAAAGTATTAAGATAACAGGCATTTTTACCACCCACTTTCCAACAATTGCTAACATAAAGGATTAAAAAAAGATCAATCCCATCTCTGATCTTGCAGAATAAATTTCATCCCAATTCACATCTATTGACCCACCAAGTAGTATTCTTCAAGGTAAGAGGTGTAATTATTTTGAATGATTATTGCAGGGATAATGTTAACAGAAAGAATTAACATGTCCTCATTAAGTAAGAATACAAAACAAGTTTTCTATTGTAATTTAAAAAATCTTTCAGATCTTTTGTTTTAGCAAAAAAATGAAGTTGGTAAGAAAGCTTTAATTTTATCTCTAAAGCCCAAAGGACAAATAACTGAACTCAATTCTAAAGAGCTTTCATTTCTTATAAACAACTAACATTTAATCAGAGGTTGAAAATTTTTGCTTAATGTAACATTGTGCCAGGCTCCAATTCTCAATCTAGAAGCATATAATTAAATATTAGATCTAAAAATATTTGTAGCTTACCACCTGGCTAGACATTCTAATTCATTTTTCTTGTTTGCTTAATTTAATTTAATCTCACTTCTATAAGAAGTCTCTATACAACAATGCTATTTTCTGAAACATAAGTTATAGAGACATCCTTATAATCTAGCTTCTGTTTAAAAATGTATGATGTTATATACTTTATGATATTATGTACTTTGAATGGATAAGATGCTTAGGAGACTGAAATATTTTGAAGTTGAGGAAAAATTTCCATTTACTTTTTTTTCTTTTTAGATGTTTCTGAATTGTACATTGCGTTTTGGATCATGGGTATGGAAGAAACATCTTAGACTGCTTCTCTATCTTGAAAAGAAAGTTATAAAGATTTGACTATCTCCATGGTGTTCCAGAGACGGAGTAGACTCATGCAGGATTGTGTCCCTACTAAACTGATCCCTATCTCTTTCACAACCACCCAGCACCAAACCAGCTGTCAGTTTACCAGGTATGGAATTTTCTGTTTTCTAAATAATCTGAAATCATATTATTTCTTACAATGAAGATTCACATCATTTTGCTGAGATTATGCTGACCCTCGGAAATCAACTTTTGTCATTCTTATTCTATCTATCCTGAGCAATTATAACCAGGATTTTCTCTTTAGTACAACACTTAGCTCCCATTAGTAGTAAATGATCTCTCATGTGCTTATTTCTCTAGTCAAAGATAATTTGATTGTAGTTACTAGACTCTGGCTAATGGTGTTTACTAATCTGCTTGCTGCAAATGATATACTGAAGGAAATAATGCTGACAGAAGATAGCAGCAAAAATTATAAGAAGCCAATGTACCATATAGTCCTGGCTCAGCTATTTTTCTCTTATTTCAATGGAGGAGTAAAATACACTAATACAGAGTAAGCCGCAGTTGATCTTTGAACATATTACAGAGCTTTAGTTCACCACACATCATGCACATCATATCGGATAACATTCACTGCCACTTCTTGAGGTGGATTAGTGTTTACACTTGAATTAGCAATTAGAATCAGAAAGAGGGGAATTGAGTTGGAGGCCAGCTTTCCAAGGACTATTAATAGATAAGCTTTGCTACACCTTTCTTAGCCCCTCAGAAATATTGAACAATAACAAGCATCGCATCCCAATCTCCCCTCCTCTCCAATTAAAGTGTCGGCTCTTTTAAGTCCACTAATTAAAAAAAAAAAAAAGGGAGGGGGATGCAAATTGGCCTGAAGCATTTTACACTAGTGGTTGTGTGATATAAAACATGACTCAAGTGCTGCTAACCATAGGGGAAAATACAAGTCTCAGAAGTTAAACAGACCTTAGTTTACCTGTAATTAACTTCTAAAAATAAGTAAAGAAAAGTAAGACTTCAAATATTGGACTACTATGAGGGAAAAAAATAGCAAATCAGCCCACTATTAAGCATGAAAAAACCATTTATGGATATAAGCTTTAGAACTTAAGTTATTCTTCTATGTTTGGAATGGGAGGTGGATCTGACTACTAAGGCAGTAGAAATGCACATAGATATGCAGCAACATCAGCCTTGTCCCAAACAAAGCCTGCCATCTGAGTCCAGGGCAGTAATCTTAGGAAAGAAAAGGTGTTAGGCTCACAGGCCTGGGTTTAAAATGTGTTTCTACTGCACACCCATCCTTGGCTAGAGGATTTTTAATCGTTGCTGTGGTTTGGATGTATTTGTGATGCATGAGGCCATGTGTTGGAAGGTTGGTGTCCAGGATGGTGATATTGGGAGGCAGTGGGGTTTGGGTAAGGTGTTGTGATGCAGCAGGCTAAGTTGGGAAGTAGGACATCTGCATCCCTTATCAGAGTGCTGGTTCGAGACCTGGCTGCTCTGCATCTGATCCAGCTGCTTGCTAATCTACCTGGGAAGTAACAATTGATGAGTCAAGTACTTGGGAGTCCCGGATGAAGTTCCGGGCTCCTGAATATGGCCTAGTCAAGTATAAGTGTTGCTGTCATTTGGGAAGTGAACCAGTGGATGGAAGATATTTCTCTCTCTCTCTCTCTCTCTCTCTCTCTCTCTAACTCTAACTCTCTAACTCTGCTTTTTAGATAAATAGGTAAATCTTTAAAGGAACACAAAAGAAGCAGGGTCTAATTGGAGGCCCTTTGGTCAATAGGGCCACACTTGCAAGGGATTAAGGTAGTTCTTATTAGAGGTTAACATAAAACTGGTCCTTCCTCCACTCTCCACTATATTATCTTGCTACCAAACATACTCCTGCTATTGTTTCCCTTCTTTTGAAAGTCAGGGGGTGCCAGGCAGAGGGAGAGAGGGAGAGAAAGAGAGAGAGCGAGATCTGGAGATCCTCCATCTGCCAGTTCACTCCCCAAATGACCTCAAATGCCTGGGCTGGCCCAATCCAGAGCCGGGAACCAGGAGCTTCTTCCAGGTCTCCGATGTGGATGCAGGGGCCCAAGTACTTGAACCATTTTCTGCTGCTTTCCCAGGCATGTTAACGCATATTAACAGGGAGCTGGATCAGAAGTAGTGCAGCCAGGAAACAAACTGGCACCTATATGGGATGCTGGCACTGTAGGCAGAGGCTTAACCTATGCCACAGTACCAGCCCCACTTGTGCCATTTTTGTATGCCATGAGGTAACACAGTCAAAGGAGGGTTTTTGGACTATCAGCCTCCCAAACAATGAGCTAAATAAACTTTTTTTTTTCATAAATAGCTTGTCTTGGGTATTTTGTTAAAGTACCAGAAAGCTGCCAAGTACAGTCACTCATGCTTAGGTGCCTTTCTAAAACTGTTTCATCTATTTCAGGCAAATTAGACAGCATCATGTACTTTAGACGTTAACTCTCCTTACTTAGCAATATATCTAATTGACAAGTGCTTAGCATTATGACTAACACATAGAAGGTACCCACACATATTAATTTCTTCAATGTACCCCTGTTCTTCTCTCATTATTCTAATATTGCTGTGGGAAAATGGTGGCAGAGAACATACCTTGGTTCTTTGTCTCCCATGGAAGAAGAATTTCTAAGTGGACAAGCAGAGATTTAAAGGATTTATTAGAGTCAAAGACCTCCAGCCATAGTGGCATGGGGCGGTGTATGAGGGGGTGCAAGAGAAACAAAACCCAAAGGACCCGTGGCACTGGGGTGTTTACGTACAATTTCAAAGGAAAACAAAACAAAAACAAAAAAAACTTGGCAATCAAATTGACATTCAGTTACCAGGCAGGGACAAAACCCATCAAAAGACCTAATTTACAATACTTTGTCCTATCTGGCTTGCTCATGATAAAACAAAAAACCATCTAGAAGGCTGGGATAGGTAACTTATGTTCACAATAAACTGTGATCACCACTCCCTTGCTATTCTTACCAAAATTTAGAGATTCCTAAGGAAGGAGGGCAGTCAGTTTGTTCTTACTAAAGATACCCTTTTGGGGGGTAAGCAAGCATTCCATACTCCAAATTCCACTGGGACCACTCTGACTGCCTATTAACCTATCTGACTCCTCACAATATAACCGCTCCAAATAAGTAAAAATAGGTCCAAAGACTCAGTTAAGTTTATTTTAAAATTGAAATATCTTTCTTTTTTCCTAATGGTTAATACCACCCTTTCCCAAAGGTAGTGTTGATCCATAAGTTGCTGCATGAGTTAATAATTTGCATTTCATGTCATTTAAAGAGTTATAGAATATCCACTAAGAAGTGAGAGGGGAAAAAAGCATTTTTCAGAGGGATATTTATTTCTCTAGAACATAAGATAATAAGAAGTCTCCTAAATCTCGCTAGAATTGGGTGGCAAGCATGATACTTAACATTTGAAAGAAATGCATTTGTTTATGGATATTAAGCAATGAATAATATGAAGACTCATAAATTGCATATTTTATACCTCGATACAAAATGCAGTTTTAATAATATGGATATGAGTCCTATGGGACTTAAGATGAGAATGCAATAAATAATTGTACTGTCTGGATAGAGATAATGGGAAGATTCTGCTCTGGATTCTTAAAGTATTTTATTTGATTCTCACAACTATCATATTAGAAGATATCACATACATTTTATTTATTTATTTTTAAATGTTTATTTTTTTCACTTGAAAGTCAGAGTTACAGACAGAGAGGAGGGGGAGAGAGAGAGAGAGAGAAATCTTCCATCCATTGATTCACTCCCCAGATGGCCTCAGTGGCCAGGGCTGGCCAGGCTGCAGCCAGGAGCCAGGAGCCTCCCAAAAGGGTAGCAGGGGTCCAAATACTTGGGCCTTCTTCTACTGCTTTTTCCCAGACCATTAGCAGGGAGCTGAATCAGAAGTAGAGTAGCAGGGCCTTCTACGCAACAATGCTGGCCCCTGTTACATAATTTTAAAGATAAACTTCTGATAAGGTGAGCAAATTTTTATTACAAGTGAAGAAAATAGAAGAGTTCAGGGATAAATGTGACAACTATTTATTTCCAGAGGCAATGCTCTTTGTACTTAACTATGCAGTCATCTATCAAAAGAAAGTTCTTATTTTTCCTCACTATTTTTATTGTTATAGAATGAACGAATAACAAAATGCATCATTTTATCTAACTGTATCTATCTGTATCTATTTATATCTATCTGTATCTAACACAGGGTCTAGTATATCTTAAATGATAAATACATAAACTCTGAAGATTTGCATGTAATGAAAATGAATCATTAGTTCAGAATGTCGATTAAATGACAGACAGAAATCATATTACAGTAGTGCTAGAAAAGGTCACTGGTCACATTCTGATTCAGTCAGCTCCCATTGTAGCCATGTTCCTACACTGTCTCCATGACAGAGAGAATTCAAGCGCAACCTCAGAGCACAATGTCAGGGAAGCATGCTGTCCTGCAAAGCAAAATCAAACATTTCCTTCTACCTTTGGGACATATACCTCAGTCGTTCATAATTATAAAACCTACTTCACACTCATCAAAGATCTCATTTTTTTGTACTAGAAATTTTATGAAATCATTATGTTTATATTTGTTTTGTTACATTTATCATGTATTTTATAATTATGTACCCAAAATATTCAGTGTAGCTTACACTGAGATGCTTTCCTTCCTATGACTGGCTCAACATATTTTCATTTTTAATAAGGTGATGCTTAGTAAAAATGAGTCCATGGACCTAAATTGATCTGAGTACAACAGATTTGTAGGCAACCACTAATTTAAAGTCATGGCAAGCATTTCTGTCTTTTGTCCTCAGTTTTGGAAATTCATTACTTAGAAAAAGACTTATAGCAAAACTTAATCTTGAATCATTTGTCATAAAAAATGAGGATTATTGTTTCATATTCTATTTTATAGAATAGCCATCAACTTGTAATTCATTATAGAATGAATTTTAGGGATAGTGAGAATAAATTTCAAAAATTAAATAATTATTCATTTTATGCAAAATTTACAAGACATGTGGCATCTTTATCTACTTTCAACTTCATCTTTATGTTTTTCAACTTCAGCATTTAACTGTGACTCTATTGAGTTCCTGTATGCTATAAAAACTGCAATGTGATAAAAATTTGAGGAGATTATAAAATGAATTTCCTGTTTTTAAATATCTCAACTTTTTGTGTTTGACAAACACAAGTATATGTACATTTTAAAAGCAGCCAAAAAAGCTTATCACATTGAGTGCTACAGGAAGATTGAATTGTCCACCTTGGTTATAGATAATCTTGTAGTTTGTTAGCAAATAACATTACCAGCATCAAGATTTTTCAGATATGTAATAAAATATATTGTTTCTTCATTTTTCACTTCACTTTATTTGCAGTCTCTATTTTTCTGTGTTTTTCTTTCATGTGCTCAATATCCATTATTTTCTATCACTTTTTTCCCTCCTAACATTCTTCCTTAGGTCAACTACATTTATTTATTTATTGGTTTATTTTTATTTATTTGTATGTATCTCATGAATACAACATTAGAAACAGTAATTCTTCCCACCACCCCCGACCTCTCACCCACTCCCCACTTCTTCCTTCCCCCTCTCCTATTTGGTCTGAGAAAAAAAAGGAAACAGAAAGAAAGCAAGAAATAATGGAGTAAAAAAAAAATAAAAGAACTGTTCCTCAACAGTCTAAGCAAGGACTGTTCTTTGCTGTTGCTTCTCAAAGTTGTTTTCGCTTTTTTCCCTTCTTTTCCTTTCCTTCTTCCTCTTCCTTCCTTTTTGAAACTTAATTGTCTTTAAAGAAGAACCCAAGGACGATACATATTTTGTGAGCTCTTAGGACTATAACTTATGAGACATAATTATATCCTCCTTTTAATACACTAAAAGGAAGTGATTCTTGAGAACAAGTTTTACTTTTAAGTCTCAGGATACAACTCTTTGTGAGCAGAGGTTCTGCATGGGAAGTTAGTGCACAGTGACTCTTGTTGTTTATTTAACAAAAAATACTTTTATATATGACATCAGTGATCACTCAAGGTTCTAGACAAGAGCTGCCTCAGCTATGAAAGCCTTTTGGATCCAGTAGCTTGACAAGGCCATAAGCAATAGAACAAAGCTGCCATTCATTAAGCAGTCCCAACTAGTGCTGGAAACACCAGGGACTTTGCTATGAGCACAGTTCCCTCTGTTGTGAGCTGCTATAGGTCTGTGGGTCGCAGGTACGTGCGTGGAGCCCCCACCTACCGGGCTTCTTAATGGTGGTAGCCAGCATGAGCTTTCGGTAGGCATGGCTTCCACTTGCAGCAGGGGAAGGTATTCTGAAGTATTGTGTTCCTCGCTGTTTGGGTGCAGTTGAAACAACTTCTGCTATTGCTGGGTGTGTGCATGGAAGGTGGGGGCAGCTGCCACCTGCTTGCTGCTTGTGTCAAATTTTGGGGAAGGAAAAAAAAAAAAAAAAAAAAAAAAAAAAAAAAAAAAAAAAAAAAAACAGGAGCAGAATGGCTGCTTCTGGTGGCTGGAGGTCCCTGTAGGATGAGGGGGTGGGGGAGGGAGGTGCACCACCTCCCTATCTGTTCACTTATTCTTTCCCCACGTGGCACGTGGCATGTCACTTCAGAAGCAGTTCACCAAGAACTCCTTCCTGCTGCTATCGGCAGCTCTGGGAATCCATGGATTCCCCTCTCCCTCTCACGGGGTCCACTGGGGCCAGAGTCCTCTCCAGGTCGGAGCCTTCACCGGCCCCCCACCCCTTTTTTTTTCTTTTTCTTTTCTTATTTGCCCTTTCAGCACAGACCTGGAGAGTCTTGGCCACTCTCGCTGGGCTTTCTGCTGCAAATTCCATATGGCTTTATCTCAGATGTGTCGTTTCAACCCTTTTTAAATATGACTTTTGTTCTGTGTGATTCGGATTGTCCTGTTGCTATTCTACCATCTTGAAACCTCCTTAACTACATTTATTATCTTTCTTTACCCTTTTTCTTCTTGCTCTGATTTCTTTCATATATGAGAAAATTTTCACTTTTCTAAAATTGCAATATTCCTGGTAATTTTTAAAATTATTTTGTTTGAAAAGCAGACTTACAGAAACAGAGAGAGGAAGAGACAAAGAGAGAGGTCTTCTATCTGCTGTCTCAGTCCCCAAATTGCCATAACAGTGGGGCTGGGCCAGGCCAAAGCCAGGAGCCAGGGGCTTCCTCTGGGTTTTCCAGGTGGGTGCAGGGTCACAAGGACTTGGGGTATCTTCCACTACTTTCCCAAGCACATTAGCAGGGAGCTGGATCAGAAGTGGAGCAGCCGGGACTAGAACCGGTACTCACAGGGTGCCGGCTACGCGAATGGCAACCTCACCCACTACATCACAATACCAGCCCCTATTCCTGTTACAGTTTACAAAGTAAGAAGGAAACCATGAGGATATGAGGGTTTACTGTGCATCAGATGTTGTAATAAATGCTTTCCTTGTGTATCTGATTTCAGACTCTTGTAGACAGAAGTAGGGATGATTACTATCCACATTTTTTTTTATTTTTATTTAATAAATATAAATTTCCAATATACAACTTTTGGATTATAGCAGCTTTTTCCCCCCATAACCTCCCTCCCATCCACAACCATCCCATCTCCTACTCCCTCTCCCATCCCATTCACATCAAGATTCATTTTTGGCTGGCACGGTGGCTCACTTGGCTAATCCTCTGCCTGTGGCGCCAGCACCCCAGGTTCTAGTCCCGGCTGGGGTGCCTGATTCTGTCCTGGTTGCTCCTCTTCCAGTCCAGCTTCAGAAGATCAATTTAGTATATACTAAGTAAAGATCAATTTAGTATATACTAAGTAAAGATTTCAACAGTGTGCACCCACACAGAAACACAAAGTATAAAGTACTGTTTGAGTACTATCCGCATTTTTTTGATGAGAAAACTGAACACCACCTTCTCACCTCTAACATGACGGCATACTTTCTGCTCATTCCCAGGATTGTTGTGTGCAAAGGCTAGATGTACAACAATGTGAATATGGTCGCTTTCAGCTCTGCCTCCCACGACATGGACGATGGTCCACCACCATTTCTGAAGCTGGGAGAGACGCTCTGAAGCAGTGTATGAAGCCGGGTTTGCTCTGACAGATGTTGGCTCTCCCACCAAGCGTGGGCCATAGCCATTAAAAGATTCCACAACTTCCACTAGGTTCCCATCTGTAAAACAGAGTAGTAATAAAAGCTATTCCAGAAATTTGTGGCAAGGATTATGTGAAAGAGTTTCATGTGGACAAAACATCTGCAACATCTGACCACATTGCTGTACACATTTTCCATACTACAAGTCGCTGCTAAAACAGTATTGATCACATAGGAAAAATTAAAACAATTTCCTGTTAAGTTCAACAAGTTCTATTTGGACGATAAAGTGACACACAGCTGAGAGCCTATATGTTCACATGAATGGATCACCATGCAGCAGAATCTCTAGAGGGGAATTTCTGATTGTTTTCTTAACAGATAGTGCAACACAGAATGGATCCCCTAATGGGCCACCTTCTGAGTATTTTACAAGGAGAGAGTATTTCTCAAAGAGAAAGTGTCTAAATGTATTTCATATACATTAGTGGAGAATCTTTTGAGCAGAAATAGACTTGCATTCTTGTGACTGCTGCAATGACAGATTTTCCCGGTCGTGTCAGTAGGGGATTCAATGTCATCTTCCCCTGGGAAGTGTCCTTAGTGTATTTCAATATGCAGCACGTCCTCATCCTGGAAGGCTCCAGGAAGATGACAATGCTTGAAATATGCTCACTCTCTTGCCCTCTTTTAACACAGACTAAATTCTGACAAAAAGAGATTAAAAAAGGGGAGAAAAATGGATAAGTCTTAACAATCCACTCAATTCTGGCACTGAATGGATCTGCTGCTAATATTTTCCTGACAAATTTGGTAGATGGACAATTATAGGGTCATTCAAAGTGATGAAAATGTGCCCCAAATTATCTGCCCTCTTAAAACAGGATTTGAGGAAAATAGAAAGTAACTCTAATTATCAAGAAAAATAAAATATCACTTAATCCTCCTTGTGACATATTTTGAAAATAAGAAACACTACCTACTCTTAAAATATTTTTACATTTGCCTGCCTATTTTTACTCTATATGATTATTTTGCTTAATGGACACAGATTTGCTTACCCCAAAACAACAAAATTTTAATATTGCTTCTGAGGGCTCAACAATTATAAAACATACATTTTTGAATTGTTCTGATACCATTTAAAAAATCTGTTTAAAAGTTAGTTTACACTTAACAACATCATAAACCTTTTTTTGAGTTTTTGTGCCTTAAATGTTCCAAATGTTTTCAGAAGCTGCAACTGGAAATGAAATATTTCATGAAGAAAAACAAAACAAAGTAAAATGACTAAAATAAAAATCTTGCAAAATACAATGTTGCAATTCCAAATATAATTTAATATAATAAATGTGTTTATATTGCAGCACTTTTCCATTCTCTATAGAACCTCAAATTGGTATCTTTGAGAAGCCTTAGTGGAGAATACTGCATTTTTGTTTAAATATATTAAGCCTAATACATTTTGCTAGTCATTTACATTCAAAAAGAATTGTTCTGTGGTGGAAGAAATTGTAATTCTTTTGAGAAATTTTTTGATTTCTTATTTTTTTTTTTTTTTGACAGGCAGAGTGGACAGAGGGAGAGAATCAGAGAGAAAGAGATCATCTATCCACTGGTTCACTCACACACAAAAAAGCCCACAACAGGGAGAGCTAGGCCAAGGTGAAGGCAGGAGTCACGTCTCCTATGTGGGTAGCAGACACCCAACTACTCGGGCCATCATCTGTTGCCACTCAGGCACAGTAGCAGGAAGCTGGATTAGAACCAGAGCAGTCAAGACTCAAACTGGCATTCCTGTAAGAGATGCAGGTGTCCAAAGAGGTGACTTAGCTCACTGAGCCACCAAGTCTGCCCCAACTTCTGATATTTTAGAGGAAGAAAATCACACTGAATTATTAATTTTCCTCTGTGTCTCCCCATTCTCCTTCCAAGCCATCAGTTAGAGTGTTAATGAATGTAGATTTTTACCTTCCTGAAAATCTCCTTTAAATTATAAATGAATACGCTAAAAGTAACAGGAAATACCGGAGATTATATAGTACCTATTAAGAAAGAGCAAAACTCATAATCAATAAACATTTGAACAATCAAATTACATAGAAGTGAAATCCAGATGGCAAAAAGGGCCACGTCAGATAAATTCACATTTTATCACATAGAGAAAACTGTA